CCCGCAGCCTGCAGCCTGGAGGTCGGCGGGCAGGAGGCGCTTCGCCGAGATTTGGTTTTCAGTCCCACGCAGCATCAGTGCTTTGGCCGGGCTCTGCATCGGGCTCCTGCACACTCCCTCCGCTCTTTGTCCCGCCAGCCTCAGAAACGGGAGGCGAGTTCTCTGTAAGCGGGTGGGTGGCAGACACTCCTCTGGTCCCCACCAGCGTGGAAGGAAACGGGATTCCCGGCCAGAGCCTCGCTGCACGGTGTGGGGGTGGGGAGCAAATGTCGGGCGACGCTTGGTCTGATGGCGCACAGCGCAGCCGACCTGGGGGGCCGCAGCTATCGCCGCTGCTCGGGCGGTGAAAGCGGAGCCCTCCGCGTGCCGGGCCAGGCACTAGCCCGGACAGCCCCCTGCGACCACCAGCCTCAGGTCCAGGAGAGACTCCGGAAACTCACACTCTCCCGCACACCCGGAAAGCGTGGCGGCAGGTGCTCCAGAGCGCATGGAAGGCCAGGCTGGGCCCCAGCGCGTTGTAGTGGCTTCCACAGTGCTTGGAAATTTCCGTCTGTGGCCCAGGGTGTCCCAGCCCCTGAGCGATCCCACCTCCTGCAGCTCACCCCAGCCTCTGCCTTCTCGCCAGTGCTCTGGACGGCCACCATCCCGTCGCCTCACCTCGTCATTTTCCTATTTGAGCCACTCCCTCAGTTATTTTCCTGTTGGGTCCCTGTTGGGTATCCTGATGCCCTCTAATATTTCCCCTCGTTTCTCTCTCTTTCCCCCTTCCTGGCTCCATATTCCGTCTCCCCTCTTTCAGGAGAGTAGCAAACCTCGAGCCTCAAACCCTCCTGAAGAGGCAGCCAGGCCACCCCATCACAGCTAGCAGCTGCCAGAACAGGGCCGCGGCCCCCAGTGTGGGTCTGGGTGTGAAAAGAGTACAGCCTAGGCCCGGAGCTGGGGCTCGCTGAGTGTGCTCACGCAGTCAGAGGCCAAGGTCCTGAGAGATCACTTTGCCCTTCCTGAGAGAGCCTAGCGGGCATCTTGAGCAGGTGGGAAGGAACCTGGGATTGCTTTGCAGGAGGCAAAACAGCTCCCGCAAATTTCCCCCCAAATCTAAACGCTTGTCCATAATATGTTCCAGCAAACCTTCACCAGCCCCGCTTCCTAAGGGTAGGTAGACTGTGGGGTTTGTTTTTTGAAGCCCAGGGAGGCCCCTTAGCAGGTGTGTACCTGACCAGGACATTTGGTAAGGACCCCTCCAAAGGGGAGAAGTGGAGGGAAGCAGGAGAGGGGAGTCATCCACGCAAAGTGGCATTCCCACAGTGCCTTGAGATGCAGACTGAAGACGCTCTGACAGCCCTGGTGCCTGCCCACAGCCAGGCCACCTTCAGTGCTGGGTGATCCAGCCCAGCAAGACCCCCCCACCTCTTCGGGATCCATTTTCCTGGGAGCAGTGCTTTGGTAACTGCTGCTACTGGCCCAGCCCCAGCCAGCACTCTGAAGCCTGCCCTTGGTAGGCAGAGCCAGGGTGTGGACCAAAGACAAGGCTGGCCAGGCTAGGGCACCACCTTCAAGCCTCAGGTGGCCTGGCCTGTCACACTGCCAGGTAAGAGCTGTGCTTGCCACCAGACCCTCCGTATGCAGTGGGGAGGGGAGAGTTCCCACTGACTGTCCAGGCCAGGAACTAGGCTTTGGGAGGCCCCTGTCTGCTCTGCACCCTGCCTTTGCCCAGGCCAGTCAGACCTGGGGTGCCTGACTTTGGCTCCCTCCTCTCTTCCCCAGCCTCTTCACAGAAAGCTATCACGTTGTCAGAGCTGCTGTTTTGGGTGCTGCCTGAAGTTCACCAATTTCCATTAAAATGCATCGTAAAAGATGGACAGAGGGCCTGGGGGACCACAGCACTTGGAGGGGATAAAAGAGCAAACAGGAAGGGGGGTAGGAAACAAATTCGCCAACATTCTGCCGCAGCTAGAAAGGACATTAGAAAAAGATAGGGAAAG